CAACTCACCAATACGACCAATTCCAGTACTACGCCATTTCACTTCCCTTCCTCAACACCAAAGCCACTACACCAGAGCCACCTGCGGTTTCCCGCGCCACATCAACCCACCGGGAAGTCGCCCACATCAACGCAGGCCACACAGGCCCCGTCGGCAACATTTCCAACATTCTACGCCAAGGCCGTTTTTTACCCAGCACACTCCACTTTGCCAACTACCCTGGATTTTTTGCCCAGGGCGTTCGCATCACCCACAACCAACCCCATGACCACAACGAACTTCTTGCCCGCATCATCCACAACACCTGGCAACTCCACAAGAATTCCCATTCCCTTATCATCACACTCCTTGCTTGGGGTGCTGCCACAAAATATACCTCTGGAGGTGAGGAACACGCCATGAACCTCCTTAACGACCACCATGGTGCAGTCTTTCATCAGAAGGGCCGCTGCTGGGTGATCCACCCGGACCACGCCATTGTCAAAGGACTGGCCTGGTCCACCAACTCCACTCCACCGGACCCATGACACCACTACCACACATCTACACACCACTACCACCTCCACATCCACTTTTGGTCTCACACCACCACCCAACCTTTGCTGTAGCAGCAAAAAAGAGCCTCCTGCAGCGGCCACGCGAATTTTGAACCCTCAATTTTTCTAGCTCTGCAGTGTTTGCTGAGAACATCTTTTTTCGAATTGTACCGGCTGTTTTGATGGAGTCTTTCACATGTCAGATTCTGCATCGTGGAGAGTGATTCATTAAGTCATGTACTTAATTGTCCAACCGGCATTGCATACTCGCACTTTTGCCTGTGGGAATTTGATGCTCGCTTAATTCATATGCACGGCCTCGGGATGACGCGCTCCCTCAGACTCGCCGCTGTCCGGCTGCTTTGGCGCGCTGCCGCAGCAACCTGTGACGATTCTTGACCACTGCACACCCCTACATCTCAGACTCATGAGCAGCACACCGACACCTCTACAAAACGACACCTCAACTCTCATACACAAAACCGCAGTGGCACTTTCGCAGGTGCACAACCTGCTTCGACAAGCAACAGATATTGTAGCACACCTCCACACGGTTTTCCTCCACCACAGCCACCAAGCGGACCCCACTTTCCGCCAACACTTTCAGCCACTTCCAACTCCGCCCAACCACCCTATACGTTTACCATCCACCACCTCATCCTGTGACTCAGCACCATCCAGACCACCCATCCGTTTACCAGCACCACCCTTACAAGACTCAGACGACACTCCAACAACACCGACTGTGTACCCCTGCCTGTGTAGAATGGGAAGAGTGGTGGTGTAAGACCCTTTGTCCAGGGTGGGACACACACACACACACGCCTCCCCGAGGGGAGGCGTAAAAACTAAGGTTAAGACAAATGTGCACGTGTGCGCGCGCAGAGACAAAAGAATGAAGACATGACAGAAGGACGAGACGGGACAAAGGTGCATGTGGTTGTGATGAAAGGGGAACCAAGTGCACAGGCACAAACAATGAAACCCACCTCATTATAAAGACCTGGGCCACCTAAAACCTGAGTTTAAAGTACATGTAGTTGTGCGCGTGCACGCTAAGGCCGGGACCCATGTGCGCGCAAACGAAAGAAAGGATGAGATGAAAGACATGAAGACAGGAGGACATGAAAAAAGAGGAGAACGGAGGTGTGTGAAGGGGAAAAGGATGAAAAGGGAACCAAATGGAGGGGACGAAAGCCAATGACCCCAAACCTCATTAAAGAACCTAGGCAAGCCTTGTTGAACATGTACGTGCTGTGTGTGCACCTGAGCTCACGACAGACTCCAATGAGTCTAAACGAACTTGGGTCGCTCTGACCACGTTGAGGCGTTAAGCCAGCTTGGACCGCTGCGGTCACGTACAGGCATGAGCCATCTTGGAATTCAATAATCCGACAAATCTTGGCAAATAACTTTGGCATAAGCCTCCTGCTGTCCGCTTCGGACACCTACGTTCCCGGGCAGGGGGAACAACGACAAACCCCCGTTCAACGGGTCCACGGGAGGCACTCTTCGGGCTCATCCCGGGCTGGCCGAGGCCAGACACACTTAGGATAGGGTGTCCTGAACTGAAAGCGGTGCCACACGCCAGCCTAGGTTACCATTTCCTAAGAGTACAGGTATAAACCTAACGGAGGCTGGGGGTCTTCAAACGGAAGTGAGGCCCGAAGCGCAAGCACCAAAGCGACGAAGTCGGATCGACAAGATAACGGCGTGCGTGCACATCTGCAAAAAGCGAAACCAAAGCCGTATGCGTGACTGCCGAAAGCAAACCGGTGCAAAAAGCAGGGACCAGTGGGAATTTCAAGGTGAAAACGAGCAGGTACGTCCAGAAGGCGTCCCTTCCGGATATCAGCCACATTGCAGCCCTCTTCGTTGGGCAATCAACTGCAATGTGGGATTGCCCCCCTGCTGAAAAGAAAAAAAGAAATCATCCAAACAATCCAAAAGGATCCCTGTGACTACAAGGGGCACACACACACCCACACACCCACCCACCAGCACACACTTGCAAACCTGCTGACAAACAGGAGGATACTCATGTCTCAGCCAGGATATCAAGTCAAGAGTTGCGATCAGGCTGATGCAATCGAAATGAACGGCAGCCAAGCCAAGCTAAGCTAAATCACAATCAAACAACGCAGGTGCCCATTGGACAGCGTGCTCAACAATTTCAAAACTAAAGAATGACATCGGTGTAGGTATATGAACCTCTGAACTATACAGAAGTCAAAACACAGCAGAGTATCAGCGCGTGCAGGCCCGCCCGCCCACACGCACGCACGGACAAATTGGAGAAACTTTTTACATTATCATTGCGCCTCTACGTCGACTTGTCATTGGAAGCATTTACACAGTCACCTGGCCTCTAAATATAAATCGCTCGTTTGTGAATCTGGGCTTTTCAGAAACCTCAAAAGCCCCCCTCCTTATCATATGATCTACAATTCTGTACACGTCAACTTTTTGTCGACTTGGGGCAGGTCAGGTCATTCTTTAAGAATATCGTGCAGTGAACCCAATTCTGCATGGTGAAATTTGAATTCTATACACAAGACTTGGTTTAAAACTGATATTGAGAACATCATAGGGCAATTCTCACCTACATTTCCTTCTAGAGTCATCTTGAATGGAGGCCCCTGGCCGCCATGACCCATTCCGTCCTGAACCTTGACAGGTGCAACAGTACAAGGACTGCGAGGGAACCGTTTCCTGGCGTAAACAAAGACCTTTAATAATCCTTTGTATTGTAGAAGTATAGTGCAAACCAGTTGTGCTTGATTGGTGCTGTGTGAGGTTTCATCTTGTCACAACAAACAACATTCAGAACTTTGTTGTACCCATCCCTCATGATATCCTCCAAGATGGATTTGGCCTGCTCATGTTTGGAGTGGGATTTTCCCTGAACAACTGCCTTCTCTGTGCAGCGTGAAGCCATGTATATGATACGTATTTTGCGCATGAGGAACGGAAGGTGTGAAGTCAAGAAGAACTTGTGTAGCTTGCTCCCTAAGGACAGTAAGGACGCCCTGCTTTCTTCGCTAGGAACAATGGGGCAACGTTTCCTTAGATACAACTTGTTTGCTTCAAACCCCAGTTCAGATGTATCACTCTATTGTCCTTATTTGTCCTTCAACCATGCGGAAGCTTTCCTTTCAGGTGCTTTTCCTTGGACGACCGAGAACAAACCGCAGACAGCCTCCTGGAATGTCTACTTGGATCCCATTGCTGCTGCTCAAGTGTATGGCTATGGTTTCCCCCTTGTGTGGCCTGGCTATGATTCTTGCGACAGAAGAGCTTGAGGCGAGCCAGCGAATTTGCAATTGTTCACACTAATTAATTTCATGTGTGAATGTTTGACATAACAGACGCTCAATAAACTTGTCCACGCGTTCCAAATAAATCCAAGGTTGCTAGCGGACAACGCTTGCGACACCTTGGTCGTGGACCCGAGCGATCCTGAAAAGTTTCTGAGTTGTCGGGACAGCCACCTGGACATTTATACTAGTAGCAATGACGCTATTAGGTGGAGGCCATCGCTATTAGGTTGGAGACCATCGCTACTAGGAACAAGAAGTTACTAGGTTGGAGGATGTACTGGGTGATGTGTAGTACACAAGAATGTCGTTACAGAACTATGTAGCTGCAGCTTGCCGAAGGCGGACAAGAATGTATTCGTGAACGATAAAGCGGTTATACTTTTGCAACCCTACGGCATGTGTAAAAGCCAATATTGTCAAGAAAGTGCGTGGCGACTCAAAAGCAAGGCAGGTCTTTTGTTTGACGCCGGTTGTCCCGGGGGTGCTTGCTGTCCAGGTGAGATACTCGATGACATTATATTGAGCTGGGGCCCTTCGCACGGCTCAGCATGGTCTTCTTTGAAGTATTGGGATCAGGCGACGAGCGTAGCTTGACAAAGGGTGTCATTCACATTGATTGGTGTAGGATGGTGTAGGTAGGGATCTCAAGTTAAAAGGAACAGGTTGTGAATTCTTTGGCCGATGCTAGTTCCAACAATGTCTTCCGAGGTCCTCATGTTTGACCTCCTATCTGGGAAGCCCACTAGCTGTGAGCGCTGGGTCCTGGAGAACTTCACGGTTAGCCTGCAGAACGATGCCACCTATGCGACTTTTGTGCCAGGTGCCGGGTGTATGGAGCCAAAAAGACCGGATATTCAGCGGAGTCTTTAGAATCTACCTTTCCGGGACCATACGTATGTCTTTGCAAATGTGTTTGTATGCGGCATTACACACTCCCTTACTAGAGGCCACCGCTATTAGGTTGGAGGCCATCGCTACACATTGCTACTCTGCTACACCTCGTCACCTCGTGCGTCTGTTGGCTCAGCTTCGCGAGGCCGCTTCGGTGCTGCCACAGAAGCATGCGTGGCCTCCAATCGTGAGCAGTTCCTGCGTAGCTTCTATGCCTGCTGAGTGCGGGACAAAATAGGCTGTGCACAGAATTGGTAGAGTTCGAGCCTTGTCCAGCGTTCAACACTGCAACCATGATCGGAGCTTGCTTTGTGCTGTCGCTATTCACGAGGAAGCTCCTGGAACTGAAATTCTATCCAACCACCCAATTGTTAGAGGAGGGCTATGGTCCTGGTGTTGAGTGGTCTGGCGGATTGTTTGGCATTCTTGCATGGTTTCGCTTGCAACTTCTTGGGAGGGGCTGATGGCTAGGTTGGTTGAAAGTTGAATGTGTGTGTCATAGAAATGGGTGAGATGGGTCAGGCGGAAGCATGGTATTTTGGCTTTCTAAGAGACCTTTTTCATTTTTCTAGTTTAGAGTCATTGTTGGTTTTCCTACAGGCTTTTTTCGCATGCTTCCCCAGTTTTTCCCCAAACAGTGTGGTAACACTAGGGGTTCTTACGGTAAGAGTTGAGGACGGGTGTCTGATCGAGGTGCTCACATCGTGTCCGGCTAATTCGCTGCTATTTACAGTACATTCATTCACCTCGAGATCTTCGAAGTGCATGCTCGCAGAATCTGGCGGGCGCGAGTGGGTGCTCTTCGAGACTGCGCTCTCGTTGTGGTGCCGTGCATATTCTTGGGCTTGGTGATCACTTTTCGCTGTAGGTGCAGGGGAAACCTCGTGTTTTGGTGGTCCAAAGTCGGCTTTTCGTGACAGGTGCAGGGGCTCGGAGTGGTCTTATGTCGATGTGCAGACTTCGTGGCAGGCGCACGGCCTTGGACATGGCAGCGCCCTCCAGTGGCTCCTTCCGCGCGGGGAGGGCAGGCTCCTCCGGGAGATCGAAAGGCCACAGAACGTATCTGGGCGGGCAATGATTTGAAGCAGGATTCTTCTTTTTCCCTCGAGGTGGAGCTGGTGGTGCTTGCAGGCCAAGCACATTGATGCTGGAGTTGTGGAAGACCTTGAATGGATTCTTGAGAAGGCCCTCAGCTTCAAGACTAAACCTGAAGGGATCCTTGAAGAGTTGAAGGAGCTTGTGCAGTGTGAGCAAGATGTCCGTCACAAGCGTGATCGTGAAAAGCTGAACAAACGGCCCCTTCCGGTGAAGGGTGAAGGAGATCTCCAAGCAGTCCTTTTACCAGGAACTTGTGGATCAATCCAAGAAAAGAGGAAAGGGGACGAACATCTCTTTTCCATGACGAAGCCAAGACTGTGCCCCGCTATGATCTTGCTGGCCGCTTTGCAGGTGCCAACATTGTTGCGTGGCTTAATTGTCATGAGTGCATTGGAGGAGGGCAAGGTTCCTAGAGTTGAAGTCAGTGTTGTCAGTCAGGAAGTTGTAGCGCAGATGAGAGCGCTCCGAGAGGCACGCCAGATCCAGAGTAAACTTTTGCCCTTCGTCCCGGTCATTAATGAAAGCGTCTCCTTTCACCATGAGGTCATTGACACGCTCCCTTTGGCTAACAATTTGGCCTGAGGCTGTTTTGAAGAGAAGCCTGATTTGGTGAATTTGCACATTACAGCAGTTTTGGACTTGATGGCTCGTAGCATCCAGGACGAGCTAAGGGTTTGAAGCTCCTTGGCTGTAGCTGAGAAGGGAGAACTTCAGGTTGGACTTCCCAGGACAACGTGGCTGGCGAGAAGTGGGAAAGGGGCCTGCTTCGTTGCTCGCCCTTCCGACGACTTGGTTCAACCTGAGTCAGTTAAGTGGGTGCAACCGTTGACAGAAGAGTTTGCAGTTGCTTATCATCAGCGTGTGACTCAAGAGGCTGGGGACAAACCATTGGCGTTCAGAAGAGGTGGTGGTTCCTATTTGTGCATTCTTGGGGGCACCCAACGGGCCCAAGTATGGTGCCTGGTCGTTCAAGGGATATTGCAAAGCCACACCTGGCAATGTAACTGATGGACGATATGAGATCAATGCCGGTGAGAAGACCTTTGCGATCGCAATCAAGCTCTGGAAGATGACGCGGAAGCTTCAATCGGAGACAGTGAGATTGTCATGGCCACGCTGGTTCGTTCATGAGGACCCAATTGTTTCGCCAACCCAGATCCAGGCACTTTGATGGATTCTCCTCAGGACACACCCGTTCAGAGGATGTCCCAGACGCCAGGAGAAAAGAAGAAGGGCGCTGAGAACCCTAGTGGCAAGGGTGCTTCAACATCACCAATCAAGAAGAAGCCCAGATTTGACGATGAACTTCGAGACAACTGGAATGGCCCTGTGCGAGGCGCTAGACTAGATTGGTTGACTTGACTTTGGAGACGCGCCTCATTGGAATCCTGATTCTCTTGAGCGTACCAACGAGGTCACTGAGGTCCCTCATACCTCGGCCATCAAGCGGCCTAACAGATGGACTTTGGCAGCTTTTGCGCTAACTCAAAAGATCAATTTGGTCACTTGACAAAAATCAGATGGCGCCTGGAAGAAGGTTGCAATCATCACTGGAGACCAAGAGCGTATATGGCCATCACTAGGCCTGTCAATGCATTTGCTCGATCACTTCTTGAGCGAGGACGTGAAGTGCTTTGACATTGATACCGAGGCCAATCGTGCTGAAAGGCCCAACGTCGAACCAGGCGGCAACTTGGAACTGCAGACTTTAGAGAGGAAGCTTTTGAAGGATGATTTGGATAGCATTTTGTTTGATTGCCATCGTCGCCGCTCGGGTTCTGAGATGTCTCATTCTCGAAATGGCCAAATGGGAGGAGATTCAAAAGTCATCAAGAGTCACCATTTTGAGAAGAAGAAACCGACTTCCGAGCTCAACCCGACTGACTCTCGGACTTGGGGTTGCTTTTGCCCTCTCTCATTGAGGTTTCAGGGAGCTTGTGACAATCCGTGCTCAGCCCAGAAAGCCAAAGAATTTGAGCCCAGCAAGGTGGGCAAGTCACAGTCTGGTAAACGTTCTGGACTGGGCTTCCTGAAGGCGTTCAGAAATGCACTCGCATTACTTGGAAGAATTGCCCATGGCGCTACCCCTCTTGCTTGCTTCGCCTTGGAAAGCTGAACTCGTAGTCGAGGTTGAGCAAGATTGCACACTTGGCCAAGTGCCGACCCAAGGTGTAAGGAGGCCACTCAGGCCGCCAAAGCCAAGTGGCCCAATTTCTTCTGGCGGAAGGCGTGGCGAGAGAAGAAAGTCCAGTCTCACATTGAGGCCATCAACAAAGGGCATTCGATCACTTCGGCTCCCTATGCCAAACAGCGCAAGATTCAGGCAAGACGTTTCAAGATCTGCGCTCAGTGCCGGGGCACAACCGCCAAGACTTTGTCTCATCGTCGATGTTGCCTTTGAATGGGAAGAGAGGAAGAATTTTCTACATCCTCGCAGGTCACGGTGGGCTGACAAAGTGACCAGGAGCACCTTTGATCGAGCTTGTGACGCGCTGAAAGTCTCTGCCGAAGAGAAGAGAGTTGTGGCTTTGTGCTTGAAGCAGTTCAAGCCTGAGAAGAAGGACTTGTGACTAGATTTGGTTCCCCGGTTCCAGGTACAGCCTGTAAGCATCAAATTAGTTAAAGATTACATAAAGCAGAAAAAACAAAAATACGATTGGAAAATACAAACTCACCAGTTGTATTTTAACAATGTATTGTTGACGTTTCAATCATACAACCTGTCCCAAATTGTGAAACTGCCAACAATATTCACGAAAATTGCCACTTGATACGCATTGATGTGGGTGGGCTGGGAAGCTGGCCCCTGGTCTTTTGGAGCAGCCTCTCGTGGGTGTCGGGTAGCCTGACCACGTTTCGCTGGTTGTGAAAAATTTGCCGGTGGGTTTTGCCGGTTCGCAATTCGAGGCTGAAATTCTGTACAGTATTTAAAAAACGAAAAAATACGACATTTTATCGTATTTTTCAACAATACAAACAAGCGCCCAAAAATACCAAAAACAGCCGCCCCCAAAAACGACAACTACAAAAAATACGACCCGCGAACAACTTAAACAAGTACAAAATCCAGTCACTAGATCCTCAGTTGAGCTGGGGTCACTGGGGTCATTGAGAGGAGGGGCTCAACTGCGTGATGGTTCCTTCCATCATTGTGGTCGAATGTTGGGATCTCAAGCGGAGCTTGGCGTTTCCTGCATTGGTTCCGGGGACTTTCGAAGAAGCCTGAACTGGTTACTGTACCTTGCAGGATCTCAATATGGATAATTGCAATGTTTTGGCCTTTGGGCGTCAGTATTTGCAGATGGGGTATCGTTGTCGCTTTCAGATGGGCACTCAGACCCGTGACGGCTGGGGAAATGTCGGTTTAAAGCATGGTGTCTGCAATATCGTGAAAAACAACTTGAATGCAACATTCATTGTGGGAAAGGCTGATGAGGCCTTTCAGTTTCTTTTTGTGGAGGTCAACAAAGTATTGACCATCAATCACTACGTTCCTCCGCGAGGAGAACATCGTGAACCTTTGTGCTGCAATCTTTGCAGCCTTTCATGCTTCTGGTTGGACACACGCACACACGATCTGTTGCCAGGGGGACTTCAATTCTACTCCTATGCATTCGGTGGTGGACAATTTTTGCGCTGAAGGGATTGAATCCTATTCCCACAGCCCTTGCTACGACAAGATTGCAAGGCAAAGAGGTTTTAGACTGGTTTGCAACCAATGCTTTGCAGCCGGCTGCCTTGGGGGGATCATCCCTTTCGCGTGTCAGATCAAAAGATTGTTGAGACTTCCTGCAAGCTCAGTGCGCCTGTTTGCTTTGATTCCCTGAGGCGTGAATTGGCAGACCTGGACCTGCCTATGACGCAAAGCGTTTAACCTTGCTGCACCACCACCACCACTACCATCATCACCCATGATCATCAGCACCACCGTCATCACCACCATCACCTTTATCTGGAACCCAATACGTCTAGATCTCTAGACCTTCTGCTTCTACACCTGTAGACTCTAGACCTTAGACCTTTAGACACACTGTTTGGGGTCTCTTGCCGGGATACTTGGAACCTTGTTGATCATTTTTGTAGTCTATTTTTTGGCGTAACATGGAGTAACGAATGCAAGAGTT